TTTTGGGGACTCGTGTCTCGAATTTTCGTCCGTTTTCCTTCTGGGTTCCCCCGAGTGTGCATATACTAGAGGAAATCAGAGTTGCTGACCTCAAATATACAACTGCGATCAGATTACTGTACATTACTATTTGCTGGTGAAAGTCGTACTGTACCTTGCGTATAGCCGGTATAGGGAACTTGAACATAATATAATACCGCCATGATTATTTGCAAGTTTTACACCATGTTTCGTTCTTCAGTCATTTATTGTAAAAGAGAAAGTCAGCCATCTGCATGCAGCGCTGTTTTAGAACTGTCCAGCAGTGATGAAAATAAAAAGCGAGGCCCAGGATTGAAATGCCAAAAAATCTACGATAGAATGTTGTCTCCCGCGCCATGATGAATATATTAAAGTGTTCGAAAAAGGATGACGTTCTATTATGCGATTTCAGCGACACTCGCGGTTTTTGCAGGATTCGAATTATAGAAGGCACCGAATATAAGTGAACTGTTTCAAGTTTCACCTGTTATGGCCAACAATCTTCATATTTGGCATATACGGAAAGGTATGAATGAAATATTTATTATGAAACTGCAGTACGTGATATCATAGAACCTTTCTTAAGTTCCATAAATCGAAAACTGCATTCCTTTCATTCAAGTAATTACTGTACTCCGAATGTGCATATTGTCGAATAGGCAACTCAGATAACATGGGGATTCGAACAAATCGATTTACAATATTTTTGGTTTATTATCTTCAATCGTTGTGCGTTTTGCAATGTATTTTGGCTTTTGTGATAGAGTGGGGCAATTTTTGGCAAACTTTCCCATTTTTTCCTGCAGGCCCCAGTAGGGAAATTAAAATTAAAAACCGATGCAATGGAATGTTCTTCAGGAGGAAGTACAGTGCTGCTGTATAAAGAATTGCACTTATACAGTACAGTAAGACTGAGACTTCAAGATTCAGATGTATTTGGTGCATCAAGAGTGTCCCTAAGTCAAGTCTCATTTTCCCTTAGACTTACATTACAGTATATAATTTTTAATTGATGTTTTATGTACAAAGTACTCCTCATAATTTCATAAAAATAAAAATTGTCTCCCAATTTTAACTGATTCAATCAATATATTTCAATGCAACATGAACATTAGGGGAATTTAATACAGTACTGATACCTCTGTACAGTACATAGAAACGTTGGCATTCTCTGTAAAAATAACATTCAAGTGAAAAAAAGAGAAGGAAGTCCCTCAATGCTGGAGATTATTATTTTTTAATTAACTGAATGGAAAGAGAGAAGGAAGTCCCTCTATGCTGGAGATTATTATTTTTTAATTAACTGAATGGATGGGAAATTGGTGAGAGAAATGTCCAAGAACTTTTCTTATATCAATTTTAGGGTTGGAAATATCTGTTTCTTGTAATTTGGTCTGAAATGTACTTGAAATTTCATCACAAAATGTCCCTATGTTGAGTCAGTGTCCTCATGTTTGGCCTTTTTTATTATTTTTATGGCAAAATAAGTGTCCCTATGTTGCATTGTCTGCAGGACAAGGTGTCCGCATGTGGGGGTCTCACAGTATTTTATTTCAATGCATTATTGTCTCTCAAAAATTGTCTGCTGATTCTTGCTTGTATGCAACGCAGAAACTGAACCCAGACAGAATCCCATCTGTGGGTTAAGTTCACACAAAATGAGGCAAACATTTGTGATTTCAAAAAAAAAACACAAAATCAGATGTGGGTGCAGCTGGGGATAAAAAGTAGATGACTCTGTGAAGTTTAACATCCTGTCAAATTATTTATACAGCAGTTAAATGTCCAGAAGATCACAAATAAATTTTATCCTTATGTGATTTTTCCCTTTTTCCATCACAAATGCTAGTTACCCAACTCAAAAACTCAAAAAGAATTTTTTAAACACTCACAAGCTCAGCTTGAGGCATATTAAATTTTTGAACAATATTTGCTTTCCTTGAAAATTTGGGGTGTCCACATCTTGAGATGGTGTTCAAATGTCGTGGCAGATTTCCTGCTACCTGTATTAAAAAGTATGCCCTGACGATTGCCATTTTAACAAATCACTCCGACTTTGACTTGAATTATACTGTATTACAATTTTGGGGAAAACATTTATTTGCTTATCTTCAAATTTCGGGAACATTTCCATATTTAGAGACGGTGTCCAAAAGTCATGGTAGATTTTCTGAAATTAAAAGTGTCCCTGAGTTGAAATGTGTCACCTGTATATTTGAGCACCACTGCTGTGACAGTAAGTCCTGCTGATAGTCCCTCTACAACCTCCCATCAGCTGACGTTCGGAGGACTCCACCCTCTTCCTCCATCTCACACACAGAAAAAAAAAGAAAGAAACCACTCCCTCTTCCCTGCGCGACACAACTGCGTACTGTGCATCACCGAAAACTGAGAAGTAGACCTTCGTGTGGGAGGGTGTTTCCCATCGCTGAATGGAGAGGGCAGGCAGCAACTTCGTCCCAGCAGACGCGTGGCGGGCATTGCGTCGCATTAAGGCGGTCCCAACTGCGTAGTTCTATTCGCTCGCGTCGGGGAAAATTTTCCAGGAGTCCGCATTCGATTTGAAGATTGATCGGACGGGTTTGGGGTGGAGTGAAGTCAGGTGTGGTCTTATTAGCCTTGGGACAGTGTGTGACGTTTGTGTGGTTCATCGCGTATTATACTTGGTGAAACACTGTCCTTTTCCTTAATTTAATTAAACCGGCGTGGTTATACAGCTAGTACTGTAGTTTGATGTTGTACTTGTAATGTATAGTTCTAAATGAATTTACGAGGACATCGTGAACTGCTGTTTTCGTACTCGGAAGAATAACCCAAACTTTTTTTACAGTCGTGTTGGACCTCATGCATCCTTTTTTATTTATTTAAAAATCGTGGGTTATTCATAAAATATGGAATTTTGTACATCAGTCACAGACAATCACAGTTATTCAGTGTGTTTTGTTTGCCCGACGTATTTAACGTTTTTATATTCGTATCATGTGTATGTTTTTTTCATCACCTGTGTGTTTAAGAGCCGGCCTATGGAATTCGTAATTTTCCGCAATAACCGCGGAAGTCCCGCAATGTGAATTTTGAAGCCTTATTTATTTTTCCTTTCTCGCAAACGTCATTTTGTCAGGAACTGTGACGCTATGCATGTACAGTAATTCTAATTCAGCGCCAATGCATTTAAATAAAATGTAAGCAAGGATAATATGCCAATTCGCAGTATAGTACACTATAGTAAAGCTGTTCATGCTGAACATGTGTGAAAAACACACACTATGATTTACTGGCTTCACGTGAACAAAAATATTGAATTCAGCATTTTAAAATTTATTTTATTTTTATTTGAAGCGTAGATTTTATTTTAAACCGCGGTCCTGTAGAATTAAGGGAAAATTCAACCACTGCCCGTATAATAAAAATCGAACGGGTTAAATCAACCGAACAGACGAGGAATATTAAATATACAGTACATGTAATTATTTTCTGAATTTTTTGAAGCAACCTATACAAACCGTTTATATTTGTATTACAGTGCACAAGAGTTAGTATTGTTCAGGGGTAAAGATAATTATGCAAAACTCTCAGATATTTGTCTCATGGAAATATCTGTCTTCATGCAGGCTGTCGAAACCTGGAACAAGAAGTGCTGTGGATTTGTTCTTGAATTTCCAGAAGGCTGTGGCAGTTGCATATGGTGTAATTTCTTGGAATTTTATACATTTTCATCACTCTGCCATCATCTCATGGTAGAATATAGAATTACGGTAGTTCCAAGCTCACTTATCTGAGGCATGATAATAGCAGTAGCGAACCTTCAATTGACCCGAGCACTTGGAGAAGTTTGAAATTTTATGATTCGGAGTGAATTATTTGTGTCTATAATTTTTGGATCGAAAAACCGGTGGGAAAAAGTTCTGCGTAGACGAACATGATCTGGGCTTTCTCCCGTCTACGACGCTGAGCCGAATTATCAAATTCTGCTGCGTAGATGGATCCGAAAAAAGTCAGTTTTGGTATGGTTCGCGTCACCTGATGATCTTTGAGTCTACGAATCATTTTTGGAATCAATTTCATCTAACAGATGTCGCTCAAAAGAATTGTAATACAGCACAGTATTCATTTCACTGTTGATGCCGCCGCCTCCTAGAAAGACAGTATAGTACATTAGTAGAGTATAGCGCCAATTTTCGGCACTAAATTTTTGTAATTCATGGAGAAACTCGGGAAAATGATTCTCCTTTTTCCACGAGAAATACTTTTAATGTTATTCCATTATAATATGGAAATTGAATTAATGTATTCGAACGAATTTCTTATTTTATGTTGGTTCAATGGTGTGATTGATTGCATGCTGGATTCTGCATGTGATTGATGCAAGCCTTTTTTGGATTCAAGCTCTTCTAATTTCTCACTAAAATGATTTTATTATTCAAGGCTGACTTATTCTGTAGCAAATGTAAGTATTTTTTTGTTTATGCAAGAGCGCGTAAAAGTAAATACTGTAATACTAACGTCTTTCATTTTTGTTTTGAAGCCGCAAAATCAAAAATGTGAAAATGATCTGTCGGGGGAATGGAAAACAAATTTGTTCCCCAAATGAACCTCAGCTTAATTTTCCCTCGCTCACATATGAAATCTTCAAATATAGCAGCCTATTTTGCAAAGCATAAATTTTCCATCTCGTGACGAATAATTATGCAATCTATTCTCACCCGAGATTGTGGACGAAAAATAAAAAATATCGTATTGTTATATCTGGCTTAACCCAATCATAAATTATATCAAGAACTCAATTAACTCAATTTACAATTACAACTCAATTTACAAGTTCAGTATTGAAAATGTCTACTTACTTTCAAAGTCAGTTTATGAAGTATCCTTTTCCCTGCTGGCCGGAAGAATTTTGTTAATGGTTATTGTGTATTACTTGGAATTGTGTTTCGGAATGCTCGTTTCGTTATCATTCATTGCATTTATTATATCGGTTCATGAGCAGTTGCGATATAAAAGCTTTGGAGTGCTGTAGTGCAAAATATACGGTATTCACCTTGTAAAAAAGGTAGAGGGCATCGTATAGAACCCCTTTTGAAAGCCAGGCCCGTGTGTGTGCTGCTAGCAAGAAGGGTGGGGTGGTACAAATAATTTGGACAGCCTTCAGACTGGACGACTCATTCTCATCATTTGCTGGGCCCGACGGAGGGCTTACAGGCTGGTTCACGCCGAACGAGGATACTGCGAGCGTCATCTGGCCGGAGTACTCGGTATCTCCTCCGACCGCGTCCGGACCAGGTATTCTTCTCCAGGCGCCAGTTGCTCAATCCGCTGCACGTCCCATCATCCGCTCCTTTGAGTCGAAGAACAGTTCTTCTTTGTCTCCGAGTCCGTCGTCAGTTTCAGGTTGGCTACTTGGCTTGAACAGCTTATTTTTTTCCTGCGGTTCTTTCAACCAAACCTGACGAAAATAAAAATAAAAAACTACGATAGAAACAGGGAAGCTCCTTCAACAATTTTTTGTGCGTACCAAAGGGGTCTCTCGTCATGTTATAGCTTTCTGACTGGAATTTGAAGGGGGTTCAAAAAATTTGACAGAAAGTGTGGACATTTGGCTGTACTTATTGGGTAGATCAATTTATAGAAATTAATTTCTGGCCAAATTATTAGAAATTTTCATTATTGATGGATATCTTGTCCGTATAATCCATACCTTGCGTTCCAAAAGCATAAGGAAAATGATATGCATTTGGTTTTTTTTTTTCTTCTGGAACAGCTGTGTTCTAAAATGTAACCCCAACTTCAATAACAAAAAGACCTTGACGATTTGGATATTGGGAGGTTTGACGGATAAATTGTTGAGTTAAGAATGTTTAAATTGCAGTGGACTTGAAGGAATTGACCAGGCCGGTCGAAATGGAAATCAAACTTGGAAGGTTTTTTACTTGATGAGATCCAACTGCGCAAGCAGTATCACGTTTTTTTTTTTTTTTACTTTGACATGATTTTGACAACGGTTTTTGCCATGGGTAGATGTCACTTGAAGCCACGATTATATTGCTGTTTTCTGCTCTTTATGTGCTAGTGCTTCCCTTTTTGCCTTCAGGTCTTGGACAGGATCTGTTCAAGATGGAAAGAAGCAGGCAGTCAGCAAGGGAGTGCAGGGCCAGGAAGAAACTGCGTTACCAATATCTTGAAGAACTTGTGTCTGGCCGAGAACGTGCAATAGCTGCTTTAAGAAATGAATTAGACTTGGTGAGAATAAATAAGACACGCAAAAAGTTGCCTTAATCCCGAATCCATGTTATTATTCAGAGAGAAAATGTTCAATATCGTTACTTGAACGTAATATTTCGTCAGAGTTCTCCGAAAATCATAAATGCAACATAAGATGCGAGGGGTTACATGTTTTCGCGCGGACTTGAAATGATCTGAACACCAAGGATTTTTTAAAACATTTTTTTTGTTATCTTCAATAGTTCAAAGTAGCTAGGCAGACACCTTCTCAATGTAATCACCACCGATTTTTACTCACTTCTCAGCCCTTTTGATCCATGTGTTGAAACAGGCATTGAAATGTTCAATTGTTAACATTTTGAACCTTCCCCAGAACAGCAGCATTAACAAGCTGATCCACGCGGAACCGTGTAACCCGTCGTATTCGCTTTTATTTTTTAAAAGCAAAAAATTGACTCCTCGATTTCTTTTCACGTGTTTCATTTTACAGTACCGAAAATTTGCCAAGGAAATCGATGAAGGCAGAATGCCAGAAGGAATGACTGAACTGATTCAGAAAACTCATGCACCCGATGACGCCCTCAAATTCATGGGGAGAATTCGGCTTGGAGCTGATTAAGGTACCATACGTTACTTGAGAAAACGAAATTGGATGTTGAAAAAAAAGTACGTTTCTTAGAAATTAAGAATCCAATTAAAAAACGCAACGCAAAATAAGTTAACAAAAAGAATTTTTAGCTACAACCCCACAAAAGTAAAAGCTAGCCTTTAGCACTTTTAGTTTACGGAACTTTTGCCGTTTTTCGTGGATGTTGCGGAGAATATTTCGAGGGTTCCGAAAAATTTCCAGGAGTGCACTTTTCCTCGGCGATCATTCAAACCAACGTGAGAGCAAATAGAAAATTAAAAGGTAAGAAGAAATTTCATGAATGAGAAACGTATCCGATAAAATTAGAACTGTCAACATTCCTAGCTTCGTCGCTTGCTTGAACGTCAGATTAATTTTTCTAGGCAGAAAATAATGTTTTTCTGATTTTTTCTAGGATTCTCAATTTTGTAGTTATTTTTTAATTCCTTGGAGAATTATGCATGAAGGATTAAATTCTCGAGACCCATTTTCTCATGTAGCAGGAATAAATGCTGGTAAAATCTATAAAATTTGAAATTCATGAGAATTCATGCCCCAAAATTTGGTGAAAATTCAACAGTAAAAACGAAAAGGCATCGCATTAAATTCTGACATTTATTTCCAAATTTCTGCTCGCTCTGTAAATGTTAGCCGAGCCTTCTTTAAATATATTCGAGAGAGTTCTCCTCAAAAAGCCAAGTTATAGCGACACTTAAAATAAAATAAAACGACAGTGATATACCCACATTCTTTACTTACACAAGAGTTTCAGCTGCAGCAGTAAAAATCGCGTAAGCTTCGAAATGAATATTTTACGATATTTCGACGATAAAAACTCATTATTCAAAATAGCGTCCGTAACGCTGTAGAATCACTTTATGAAGGAGTATGTACCCATGCGCTGTGTGCATTACGTTCTATGTAACATTCATCTTAATGTTCCAAAATATATGCTGTACGTATTATTGTATCTCATTCATCACTTGGATGGCTAAAAAATAAAGCAACCCTATAGAATGCATCTTCGTTCAGTTTCTCTTCAGAAGAGCAAGATGTAGAACTAAAATAGCAGCCTTCGAAAACCATAATTTCAATCGATAACCCGGAGAGTTGTAAAAATCGTGCATTCACTATAGGATATACTGTATATGTCGGACAAAAACTAAAGTTGTTCCTAACACTGACATCTATGCGTAAGATTGATAACATTTTAACCTTCAAGTCAGAGATTCTATCCCGCGTGTAGCAGCAGATGAAAAAAAATTTAAGTGCTTATACTGTACACTGGGTACAGTATACAATATGCAACCCAGAACAAGTTTTTAGCCATACATTTTGTGTGTGTTGAGAATACGGTATCTTCGCAAGGAATTTTCGGACTTTGAAAAACATTCCTCGGTGATACTAAAAGTCCAAACCCACATTCAACTGACCTAACACGAAGAGTTATTTTATACAGCAAATGAAGACGAATACAGTAGTACTACTGTATATACCGATTTGTATCTAAAATATGTATATACAATATATATATATATATATATTGCATACATATATTGATTGCAGTATCGTTGACGAAGGATGCAGTGCTGGTTTGTCATACTACAACTTGAAAATGAAAATGTTATTTTTATTTCATGAAGGAGCTTCTATAAGCTTATTAAAACATGCAGTATATCATGAATAACGACGGATCGACGATTTAAAAATCAAGTCATATCATCCCCTGATGACTTTTCTGGGCTGGGGCGAATACATTCTGTAAACACATTCGTATGAAAAAAGTCCTTTATATGATGAAGATGCGTGGACTTGAAATATGTCGAATAAATTGCGCGATTTTTCATCGTTCAATTGAATCATCGAATCGAAATGCTGCATTCATGCCAATGAGAAGGAACAATAGAGCAGGAAGCATATGAGAATATATACAGTAATTCAGGAAACTCTATAATTCGCTGTCTATAAAAATTCCCAAGAGATTATAAAACAATAAGCATATGTTACTGAAATCGCCCACATGCAGCAGAATTGTTTTCTCACGTACGATCGAATCACGGGCTTCGATCCATAAAAGTATTATGCAAAATAACTCAAGGGATTTAGGGAAATCAATTGAAGAGAAAGGAGGAGGGAGAGGAATCTCAAGTGTACATTCATATTCCAAAAGGGCTGCGATGGATGCTCTTCAAGCAAATGCTGCTTTTGCATTGTCATCACTGTCAGTATTCGCGTAACCCGAACTTGATGCGGAAAAGACTCGGCTGTCTTGAACCTAATCCACGAAACTTGCGGATGCCATTCGTCAGATTTCCTCCTCCTCTCCTTCGCAAACGCTCTCTGTGCATCGAATTACAACTTTTTTTTAATTCACGAAGCAAAATCGAGTGGATCGAATCTTGAAAAAGGAAGTTATGCAAAGTACGTACTGTACGTGCTATTCCCCGAAAACACGCCTGCGTACATGGATCATCCAGCAGAAAACGAGCCGCCAGAAGTGTCTGCAAATTCAAGCATTTGCTGCTGCAGCTTGTCTTAACTCATTTGACGCATCAGTATGCGTGAAATTCAGACAAAGAAAATCTAATTTGAATTTTCCCACAAAATTTTATGTAAGCTCTAATTTTACCAAGAGCTCACATCGCGAGTCTGAAAATTCCAAATGTGCTGAAAGATTTTTCGCCTTATTGAGAAACTCGGCTATATCTGATTCACAGCTCGAACTGAAATAAACATGTTATCCTGACCTGAAGATATAGCAATATGCGGAAACATATGGGGGAATAACGGAAATGAGAAACATGTCACATGAAATCATGGATGCACCAGCAAAAGGATAATGAGCTCAGGATATAAACCAAGCAGATAAGGGGCTTACCATATGGGCTATACCCATATGGTAAGTGTTATAAAAAGAATCCCCAATATTAACTCCACCTCATTCAGCAATCACTTCGGCGGACTTTATACAACGATTTTCTTTCTATAACGATCTTTTGTGCCATGGCATTGTGCGCAAGAATTGTGCATATACATGCTTTCAAGAATCTATCCCTATATATGTGGAAGAAAATCACGGTTAGGTCTTGCATTTGAAGGTGCTGGTCCAGAAATTTTCAATTCATCTTCTACGACCCACCCAGAAAAATTTTCTCACAACAATAGTTCGTGCAGTTTCCTGTGTGCGTTGCGCATATTAATTGAGTGGTTTCCACTGACATAATATTACACAAGCATGGCTGGAAACTATTCTGCTTATCAAGACCAGACCCACGCATAAATTATTAATATACATGACTACAGTGTAAGAATCAGCATAAATCGTTTTCTATCACGTACCTTTCTTCGATTTCTACAATTTTTATTTTCGAGTTAATTAATTCACAATATTTATATATAATAATTTAAATATTTTTCTCCCCACATATTTGCATAATGGAGAAATCGCTTCATTCCTGAGATCCCGCATTTATACTTGAGGATCACGCGCCCTCGAGTTAGGCTCGCACCAATATTTTTTAACCAAAAATTTCCCGAAAACTTTCCCTGCGTGAAGACCCAGTTTTTGGCTGAAAATAAAAGTTTACTTGCCAAGTATATATTTGTATACCAGAAGAACCAATCTTCATATCGTAACGACTGATGGTGCCAAATACTGTATATTATTGCATGGATTTTTGCACCTGCGGCTAACTTCTGACGCAGATATGATTTCATGATTCTTCCTTCTTGTTGAGAAATGTATACTCGCATACCAAGCGCACCCCACACTTTTCTGCGTTGATTTTCAAGAAAAAGGCGCGGAATGGTACCCGAGCAAATACTTTACTAGTGTACTGTATATATATATATATATATATATATATATATATATATATATTGTACAGTACTGTACAGTATATAAAACTGTAAATAAGCACACGGAAAAGCATGTTGGAACACAATTTTTGTTGTTATTGCATAAAAGCTGCGTATATTTCTTGAGAAAACATCAATAATTCGCAGGTTTTAGACCTAATTTACAGCATACCTTATTGATAAATTAAGTTCGCTTGTAAAAAAAAATATTTTTTATATTCAGCGTATGCAGGCAATGCTCGGTAAGAAAATCATTACTCAATACTGTACTGTATAAGGATTTTCTTTTACTGCTCCAGTTTTCTTTTTCAGTTCCTCCTTGGGCGGGGTATTAATCCAATTATTTAACCATTATTATATTTACTTTGTTCGAAACACTACTTACCACAACGAAAAAGAAAGAATGTGGATAAGCCCTTCATCGCTTCTGCCGCCAGCTCGAGCGGGAGGCGAGCCCCACTTTCAAGAACCAGAAAGAAATTTATATAAGCTCTCTCAAGAGGAGTTTTTCGGTTCAATATCGCTGTGAATTTTATTTTATTTTGCTGTCACTATATGGGTGTAAGAAATGAATGTGTTCTCAAAGTCGACGTCGTCATTTTTCACGTAAGCTTCGAAATAAATATTTTACAATATTTCGACGATAAAAACTCATTATTCAAAATAGCGTCCGTAACGCTGTAGAATCACTTAATGAAGGAGTATGTACCCATGCGCTGTGTGCAGTGTGCATTACGTTCTATGTAACATTCATCTTATTGTTTTAAGATAAATGCTGTAGTACGTATCATTGTATCTCATTCATCACTTGGATGGCTAGCAAATAAAGCAACCCTAGAATGTATCTTCGTTCAGTTTCTTTTCAGAAGAGCAAAATGTAGAACTACAATCAATAGCAGCTTTCAAAAGCCACTATTTCAATCGATAACCCGGAGATGAGTTGTAAAAATCGTGCGTTCACTAGGATATATGTCGGACAAAAACTAAAGTTGTTCCTAACACTGACATCTATGCGTAAGATTGATAACATTTCAACCTTCAAGTCAGAGATTCTATCCCGCGTGTAGCAGCAGATGAAAAAAATAACTTTTAAGTTCTTATACTGTACACTGTGTACAGTATACAATATGGCGCAACCCAGAACAAGTTTTTAGCCATACATTTTGTGTGT